ACTCCCAGGGGAACTACTTCGAGGGTGATGGATGAATTTAATACCTGAGATAAGTGTACGGGTTTTTATAGGCGCAGTCTGGAAACTTTCCGATCGCACCTCGTATGCCCTAATTATCGTCATAAAAAGAGGAAAGTAAACAAAGAATTGAGCATTTTCCAAGGATATTAGATTCTTCAAAAATTTGACTCTAAATAAATTACTTTAGTATCGTTCCCACAGCAGAAGTTTGCAATGTCATATTGGGAACTTATGAAATCGATACAGTTGCTAGCTTCAGAAGTTCATACAAAAATATGGAACTGTCTCCGTTAAAGGCATGAGACAAGACACAATTACTGAAATATGTAATCAGTAAGCTGGGTCCATGCGGTCAATCAGGGTAAGTAATAATTTTGGAATTATGTTCCTCGCTCTATGGAAAGCACATCGGCTGAGTATGCGTGATAAAATGGCGGTGAGGAGGATAATAGGCCGATGAAAAGGAATTATAGACGGACACAAAAAACTACATAATAGGAATTTCTTAATTTATAAACTTAAAAAAATATCACTAGGAAAATACATTTAAGGAAAATCAGGTGAGCGGGGCTTATGAACTTAAAAAAAATATTATGAGGATGGACGGAGCTTGTAGCACGGGTGAGACATATGAGAAATGCACACAGTATTTTAGGTAGAAAAGCCTACGATAAGAAACCACGTGAAAGATGCAGGCGCAGATGGGCGGGAAATACCGAAATGGTTCAGGAAAGGGTCCGAAGGCGGTCTCCTGTGAATACGACGACGAACCTATGGGTCCCATGAAACCAGGAAATATCTCGATCATGTGACGTTGAAACATGGGATTATATTCTGAAGGAAGATGGCGCCTGCAGAGGCCAGGTTTATCTATACGGTAAGCATAAAACGTCATATAAAATGAAAATATCTCACCTATCGACGGCGATAGCTACGAGATGGAGGATCGAAGCAGTGCAACACAGCACGTCACTGGAAGTCCACATGTCACATAGCTCAGGACCCAGAATCCATCCTTTGCTGATCTGGAATCACAAGAAGGAAGACATGTCAATATTTGAGCTGCATATGAGCAGTCGTTTGAGCTACTCCACGTGACTTCTGGGCGATTGAGGGCGGAGAGACGCTGGCAGGTCAGCTTTTTCGTACTGCGGTGATTTTACTTAGGTTTTGTTACATTTTTATTTAATTAATAGTAAGTTATAATTTGTTATAAAGAGCATACGTGGCTTAGTTGTATAAGGTTCCCATGGTCGTTTACATACTATCCTGCAAGTATACTATAGTTGTTATCGAAGAAGCATCATTAAAGTAGCAAAGCACTTGACAGTGGTGTGGTATATCGTAAGGTTCAAAAGTTTTATAACTTTGTTACAACATTTGTGTTGTATGATTCGAGGTTTTTACAGCGGTGAGTATGAAAATGAATTCATCGCCCTGATGACGGAGGCAGTATGACCTCCGAAACGTTGGTAAACATCGATCAGACTACACAGCGCAACAACCCAGGAGACAGAAATCTTCATACTCATCGCCCTGATGACGGAGGCAGTATGACCTCCGAAACGTTGGTAAACATCGATCAGACTACACAGCGCAACAACCCAGGAGACAGAAATCTTCATACTCATCGCCCTGATGACGGAGGCAGTATGACCTCCGAAACGTTGGTAAACATCGATCAGACTACACAGCGCAACAACCCAGGAGACAGAAATCTTCATACTCATCGCCCTGATGACGGAGGCAGTATGACCTCCGAAACGTTGGTAAACATCGATCAGACTACACAGCGCAACAACCCAGGAGACAGAAATCTTCATACTCATCGCCCTGATGACGGAGGCAGTATGACCTCCGAAACGTTGGTAAACATCGATCAGACTACACAGCGCAACAACCCAGGAGACAGAAATCTTCATACTCATCGCCCTGATGACGGAGGCAGTATGACCTCCGAAACGTTGGTAAACATCGATCAGACTACACAGCGCAACAACCCAGGAGACAGAAATCTTCATACTCATCGCCCTGATGACGGAGGCAGTATGACCTCCGAAACGTTGGTAAACATCGATCAGACTACACAGCGCAACAACCCAGGAGACAGAAATCTTCATACTCATCGCCCTGATGACGGAGGCAGTATGACCTCCGAAACGTTGGTAAACATCGATCAGACTACACAGCGCAACAACCCAGGAGACAGAAATCTTCATACTCATCGCCCTGATGACGGAGGCAGTATGACCTCCGAAACGTTGGTAAACATCGATCAGACTACACAGCGCAACAACCCAGGAGACAGAAATCTTCATACTCATCGCCCTGATGACGGAGGCAGTATGACCTCCGAAACGTTGGTAAACATCGATCAGACTACACAGCGCAACAACCCAGGAGACAGAAATCTTCATACTCATCGCCCTGATGACGGAGGCAGTATGACCTCCGAAACGTTGGTAAACATCGATCAGACTACACAGCGCAACAACCCAGGAGACAGAAATCTTCATACTCATCGCCCTGATGACGGAGGCAGTATGACCTCCGAAACGTTGGTAAACATCGATCAGACTACACAGCGCAACAACCCAGGAGACAGAAATCTTCATACTCATCGCCCTGATGACGGAGGCAGTATGACCTCCGAAACGTTGGTAAACATCGATCAGACTACACAGCGCAACAACCCAGGAGACAGAAATCTTCATACTCATCGCCCTGATGACGGAGGCAGTATGACCTCCGAAACGTTGGTAAACATCGATCAGACTACACAGCGCAACAACCCAGAAGACAGACATCTTCAAATCAAATATTGATACACCGCGTCTTAATATAAGCCCTGTCTCGTTTTGCGGAATTATTGCCCCACAAGCGAACTGCAATAAATTTATCTAGTAATAAATAAATACAGATATTTATAGGCCTTTTCCAATGATCAATAATGTTGCGGCATTATTGCGTCATTTAATTTGAGCTTCTCTTGTACATAAACTTTCTATCGATCTGAAACATGAAAACCGGCTTACTTTCGCTCCGAGACACTCTGGGTGCTATGTCAAAGGTTGAGCCCTGAAAACCGGCTTACTTTCGCTCCGAGACAATCTGGGTGCTGTGTCAAAGGTTGAGCCTCTGAGTTAGGACCGAGGTTAAGACACGTACGTACGGAAAAATGATTTTCAAAAGTTGAAGATCTGTGAAGAAATACGTCTACAACACAGGTTAATTCTGATGTATAAAGTGAAGCTTCCGCAGACTCTCGGGTTACGAGCTACGTCACGTGGCTGAATAGTGAATAAACCGTATCTTTGCCAACGTTTCGAGAGCAATCTCTGCTCTCATCGTCAGGGCTGCTGCTCAAAAAATCTGGTCCTCTGCAGCGCTCTACAGAGGACGTTTTTTTAACATGAACACTAAAAGTAGGAAAACGTTAATTAATAAATTCACAAGAAGCCTCGAAAGCAACCGAGCTGCAGTTTTTCTTTGAACTGGTATAAAAATTTCGTGGCAGAATTTAATACGCAGCTAACGACCAGCCTTTTTACTCAGCGTATGAAATTCGCCCTCGGGAGTGTCAATTTCTTTTCCCCAATTTTACTCCTTCGCAGTTCATTCTCCACCTCCTGCCTCCACCCGGTCATAACTTCCCTCTTCCTTCTGCTGATAGAACTTGCTACTAATTATGGTACAACCGTTTCCGGCCCTCGGCAAACTTTTACAGCTTCTGGAATTGGGGTTTAACTCCGGTAACAGAAATCACACTTCCTTCGGACTTCGCTCTGTTAAACACAGGCAGCTGAGTCTGGGATGGATTGGACTGGTTTCGCTCAGGGTAGGGCCCAGTAGCTTTTGTGAATACGATAATGAACAGCTTGAGTTCCTTAGAAGCCTGGAAGTTATTAAGGATTCGTGGAACTACAAACTTTTGAAGTAAAGCCCTTCGGTTACTGCAGCGACCGGGGATAAGTTTCGACTCTGCTCAACGCGTGTCACCATTCTGTACCTTCTGACACGATCAAAATTCTTTCTTCAAGTGTTTATCCACCCCTCAAAAACACAAGCGACTATTTCCAAGGTAATATCAGCATATTATTTAGTACAGCCTCCTGGATTTTCTTATGCTTGTGAATTTGAGACAATAAAATCAGATGGACATGTAGCACGCATGGGGAAAATAGATGTGTCCATAGTTGGATTCTACCGATATTTTCCGAAACCATCCCCTGTTTTATTTCAATATGCACACCATCACGTAATTTTATGGAGGAAAAACAATGGAAAACACCAATTGGAAGACACAGGAGTGTATGGGAGATATTATTAAAAAGAAAGTTAAATATGTAGTAAAGCAATACTTAGGATACTGGGAACGACCCGTTCTTCAAGTGTCTGAGCACTGGCTTAATCTATAGACAGTTGGTAGGACTCCTTGGACGAGGGATCGGCCCGTCGCAAGGCCTCTACCTGTACACAGGACAAACATCCATGGCTTGAGTGGGATTCGAACCCACGGTCCCAGCGACCAAGCGGTACAAGGCCCACGCGGCCACTGTGTCGGTTGAAGTGAAATATTTCAGCGTTAATTGGAAGTGCTGCTCAGGATGACATCCATTAGTGAACTTTGAAGATGACGGATGTGAAATTCTGTTTTCAAAACAGAAGAAAAATTCTTGCTAACAGATTCATTTGTTTAAATGTTTCTCGAATCTGTATGTGTCAGACACTGGAAAAAGGCCCATAATTCAACACCTCACTGCGCACATCTCAACTGTAATCTGCAAAGTTCTCATTCAAGAACGTTCATTTTTTGTAATACGATTTAAAGTTCGTAGAAAAATTTAAAATGTTACATTTTACAAACGAAGTGATAAAATAAAAGCATGATAGACAAAGTATCGAAATTAGGAAAAAATATGTATTCTGAAAGAGATCTGACATCCGCTGGTATAATGTAGGACCAGTCAACTTGTGCAAACAGATTTGAAATTAAAATTCTGTTTGAGAAACACTGACTTACGGTTAGTCATGTAACTATTCACGTAGTCACTTGTTGGTAGGAAGAAATTCGAAAGGAAGCGTCGAATCTTCGTGTTCTTAATTTTCGTAGAAAAGAGTAATTTGATCTTTGTGTGCTGTGTAATATTTCTCTCTGACAGACGACAGATTTCAAAAATCTTCTGAGCCTAGCCTATCTACAAACCCTCATGAGAAACTACTGTATCTTTCTGGAGCCGATGCAATGTTTATAAATTCCTTTTTTGCGAGAACTTATAAGATAGTATAATTGCGTCATATTGTGAAACAAATATTAAATTAATTATTCGGTTTTTTCCAAATGTAAATCGATTATTCGATGTGGAACATAAAATTATATTTTAATTATCTTATTGTAAATTTTAAATATTTTAAATATAATTGTGATTAGACGGACAAACCGAATAATTAATTTAATGAAAACTTATAATTCAAATGCGTTATTATATATTAACCGAGGTGCTGTTGATCGCGCTAGTCTGTTAGCTCTCTTCTAACAATCGAAATGGTAGGATGTCTTTTTCACAAGAGCAACGAATGTTTATTGTCTAATACATCCTGAGATCTAGTCCTTACTTAACTTCCTAAAATGAGTTTAGGGAAACATTTCCCGATTCTCCTGTGCCAAACAAACCCACAACATCTCGTCTGGTAAACCGTTTCAGTCACATAGGAAGCGTTCAGGACAGAAAAGGTTCCGGTCGATCTTCGGTGCTATCTTTCGATGGACGATAATTAATCACATTTCCTTCAGCGAAACAACAGCTGTTAACAGGAATTGGTTATGAATTTAATTTCCGTTTCGGAATTTTAACGAAGAACACTGCTGGTTTCAGCTAGATGGGGCTTTTGCGTAAACAGAAAATTCAACAAAGATGTTCAGCAAGCTCTTAAACGGTTGCATATTTGTGGCCCCCTCGATCTCCGGATCTAAGACCACCGCGTTCCTATCTTTGGAGGGTTTCGAAGAAGAACGTGTACAAAT